GAGGAAGAAAAATCATGATTGGTCTAAAGCAACTGCCCAGCATCCAATCCGAGGGGCAAAAAGAAGAGCTGGCAGGAATGTCTCCGGATGGGGACAATTTTACTGGGCTATTCATGAGGCCAACCAGAGGCCAAGGAACCGGCCCTGTCCTTGTCCTTATGAAGAGCCTGACACAGGATTCTGAGATGCAAATGGGAGGACGTCTTTTCAGGTCCTCTCTGTGCAGATGTGCTCGTCTCTCCAACTCCTGAGCTCCAGCCCAGGCCTGTGCCATCCCCAGCCACTTTGAGGGGCCACCTGAGTTACATGCAGGGTCCTCAGGCATCCAGATGGGAGCTGCAGAACATGAACCCTCCGTGGTCAGCTCCAAGCCTGGCTTCTGCCTTTACCTGGCAGCACCCCACCCCCGCAGCAATGGTTGACTTCTTCTGATTCTGATCCAGACTCTGAATTTAGAGATGGTTAGGACCTGGAATTAGGACCCAGATCCCAATTATGTCTGAAAGCAACAGAATAATATAATCTCTACACTGCTGCATGACTTGTGGCTCAGCCAATACAATGAGAATAAGGTGTGAAATAAATGGGGAAATAACATCTGAGGTGTGAGGGGCAAGAGGGAAGCAGCCACACAAGCTTCTAGGGGTGCGTTCCTGGCAGAGGAGAGCTCAGTGCAGGGGCCCAAGCTCCATGGTTGGAAGGAAGCTGGTGCAGCTAGAGGGTGATGGTTGAGGGTCACTGGGCATGTGATGAGGCCAGTGGGTGTGGAGAGACTGTAGTGGCCCACTTACAGGATGGGGAATGACACACATAAAGACATAGACATAAAACATGGACACAAGAGAATTGGCTGCAGTCCTAGAAAAAAAAGCACACAGACACAAAGACGGTTCAAGGCTGCAGCACTTAAAGCACCAGTCGTTTTATTTTTATACTATTTAATTGGGCAAGCGTCCCACAGCTATTTTCTCATGCCAGCTATTTTCCCAGCTACTTTCTGGTACGTGACTTCCCACGGGCCAACAGCACCTGTTTCTCCAGAAATAGCACAAGAGATGTCCTTTAACTCTTGACACTTTAACATTTCTCCAGACATAGCACAAGAGATGTCCTTTAACGTTTGTGGATAACAAGACGCCTGGCTTGGTTGCATAGCACAAGAGAAGAAGATGTTTACATTCTCTCTTCTACCATCTAGTACCACGCACAGATAACAGACAAACTTGGCTCACATGCGAAACCACAGGTCCTTGTCCATTTGCCCAGAGGAACAGTTCTATCTGCTGGTCAACAAGTCACGTCCTGCTAATTGTGGGAACAAGCAATGTGCTCCCGTTCTGCTGACTTTAGGTCTCAGCCAATCTGACCCAGGGATGTCTCCTTCAGGGACCAGAAACCTGGGTACTTAAATCCCACGTTGCTGAACACAGGAGTTGAGGAAGGCTTACGTTATCCCTGTGTGGCAGTCACTGCCAGGTACCTTCCCTGTAAGCATCCATCCCCATTTTTTTCCTCTCTCACAGAACCCCAATTTTGTGTGGGGTTGCATTGTACCCAATTAAAAACCCTTAATTCCACAGAGTCCACTGCAGGGAGGAGTGGTCACATCACATAGTTCTGGTTAGTAACATGTATCCAGAATGCTGATGAGAAGAAATTTCCTTTCAGGATAGAAAAGGAAACTTTGGTGGGGCGTGGTGGCTCATGCCTATAATCCTAAGACTCTGGGAGGCCAAGGTGGGAGGATCGCTTGAGCTCAGGAGTTCAAAACCAGCCTGACAAACAGTGAGACTCCCCCCACCCCTCATCTCTACTAAAAAATAGAAAGATTAGCCATGTGTCATGGTGCACACCTGTAGTCCCAGCTACTCAGGAGGCTGAGGCAGGAGGATCACTTGATCCCAGGAGTTTGAGGTTGCTGTGAGCTAGGCTGACACCACAGCACTCTAGCCCAGGGGTTAGAGTGAAACTCTGTCTCAAAAAATATATACATTAAAAATAAATAATAAAAAATAAGGAAATTTCTGGAAAATGGCTTTTCATGCTTTCCTATTCTTCGTGCCTGGAATGCTGATGCAATGTCTGGGTATAGAAGCCATCTTGAAACCATGAGAATGAAAACAACAAATGAAGAATGAGATAATAGAAAGACAGGAGTCTGGGAAACTGATGGCATCATGGACCTACTGCACTCCCCAGTTCTGCCAACCTCTGCACATCTTGTTGGTTGCAATGAACTAATCTTTATGTGTTTTGGTGCTAGAATCCAGTCATTCTCACACTTGTAACCAAGAACAATCCTAAATCATAGAACACAGAATAGGAAAAAAATAATCATTTTGGGAACTGTAGAAAATATTGGTTAAAATAATCCAGGTATAATGATAACCCAGAAGAAGACAAAGCTAGTCTTGCACTATTGCCATATGTCATCCTGTATTTGGTCCCAAGTATTATGGAAGCTAAAACCAAGAGGACATTTCTCAATACAACTACTAGCACTACTATTAATTCTATAATAGTAATAAAGATAATAACAGCAAAGCTATCTCACATTCCTTAAGTGTTTACTATGTGCTGGGCACTCTTCTAAGCACTCTTCTAATGTGTTAAATTATTTAATCCTCAGAACAACATTTACAATTATCTGCATTTCGCAGATGAAGATGTTGAGATAAAGAGAGCTGAAGTGGCTCGCCTAAGGTTAAAGATCCAGGATTTCAACCTAGGTTGCCTGACTGCAAGGCTTGCAGTATAAACCGAATTTTATGAAATTCTCATAATATCTAATGTAGTATCTTTTTAACTTTGGTAAAGGTCTGCTCAAATCTATTGCCTACTTTAAAAAATTGGTTTCTCATCTTCTTAATGTTGATTGTCTATTTGCTTTTCAAAGTTAAAACAACAACACTGACTGTTGACTACTGAAAAGAAACAAAAATGGAAGGAAACAATGGAATGGCATCTTCAAAGAGCAGGGGGAAAATAACTTCCAATGTAGAATTATATATCCAGGAAAAATATTCTTCAAGCATGAAAGTGTAATACAGACATTTTTGGACAAATAAAAAATTAGAAAATTCGTTGCCAGGATACCCACTCTAAAGGAAACATGAAAGATTATCCTCCAGGCATTATTAAGGAAAATTAAGCCAGATAGAAACTTGGAGATGCAGAAAGAAATGAAGAACAACAGAAAAGGTGAATAAGTAAATCTAAATGAATAGGCCACAGAATGTTGCTCCCAGAATGTAATTCTCTGCAGGCCTGGCTGCTGAAGCTGCCTGCTATAACCGGAAACCTGTTTTATCTAACAGCTGCTGAAGCGAACTGCTGGGCTCTCAGACTAGTTTTACCCGCCACGGTCCCTCACCAGTCAGAGCTGGTCAGCTCCTCAAAACCTTACCAGTGCCAATGAACTTTCTTTCAGGACAGTACTTCCCAGTTCTCCTTTTTCTAAAACCTCCAAACTTCTCCTTTGTTCTTCAGACATACTGAAGACCACCTCTTCTGTGTGCATGCCCTGAACTGCAATTCTTGTTTCCCAAATAAAATATTTCAAATGTAGAGATGTGTCTCTATATTGTATTTGACTTGGACAATGTCTACCATAGTCATCAATGGATGGAAGCCACTATATGAAAAGTTGATGGGGGACTTTATAAAACAGAGGCGTCAGACTGTTACCACCTGCTCGAAACTTAAAAGAAGGACAACCAGACATTACTTGCCTTCTGCTGTGAAGCAATCTAAAGCAGCAGTCCCCATCCTTTTTGGCACCAGGGGCCGGTTTCATGGGAGACAATTTTTCCACAGATGAGGGGGGAGGGGTGGAGGTGGAGCTCTGTGGCCTTGTTCCTAACAGGCCACGGACCAGTACCAGTCCGCAGGCGAGGGGCTGGGGACTGCAGACCTAAAGTACACAGCACCACCTAATGAAATAGTCTTTCCATTAAGCAGTGAACCTGAATCTAATCAAGCCTTGGCAAACATCCAATTTATAAGAAATAAATTTGTAGATTTCTCTCTCTTCATTCATTTACTTATATATTTTTTGAGACAATAGTCTGGCAGCTGTTATTGAACTCAAGCAATCCTCCTGCCTCTGCCTCCCAAATATTAGGATTAAAGGTACGCACCACTGCACCTGGCTCCTATAGATTTATTTCTAACTTAATCTATATAAGAATAAGTTAAAAACACCATAAGGATACAAATCCAGAAGGTGGGACCTTCTACAGGACAATGGACCTATTTCTTTAGTAGGTCAATTGCATAAAAACCAATGAGGAACTACTCTAGACTCAAAGAACCTTAAGAGAACTAATAACCAAATACAATCTTTAGATAGTGCTTGGATTCTGATTTAAACAAGTCAACTAGAAAAAGACAATTTTGAAACAATAAGGGGATTTTGAATATGGATACAAAGGTAGTATCAAGGTGTAGGGTACGGTGGCTCATGCCTATAATCCTCGCATTCTGGGAGGCTGAGGCAGGAGGATCTCTTGAGCTCAAGAGTTCAAGAACAGCCTGAATAAGAGCAAGATCCTGTTGCTACTAAAATTAGAAAATGTAGCTGGGTGTCATGGTGTGTGCTTGGAGTACCAGCTACTTGGGAGGCTGAGGCAGGAGGATTGCTTGAACCCAAGAGTCAGAGGTTGCAATGAGCTATGATTACACCACTGCACTCTACCCAGGCAACAGAGTGAGACTCTGTCTCAAAAACAAAACAAAACAAATTCTGGTTTTGAAAAATAATGCAAAAAATAGAAATGACCAAATAAATTCACTTATATAGCGGCAAATTTTCTAAATAAAATATTAGGAAATAGAATCCAGAAATATATTTTAATATCTACACAATTATACACACATGTTATTAACAGTTTAATTGCTCACGATTCTTTCTTACATTCCTCTGAGTTCTTGCTAAAGTACATACCTTACTAGAATTTTAGTAAAGGATTGTGAATAGTAAACAATTCAGGGCACATATGTATTTTTAAATGTATTTATTTCACCTCTACTCTTTAAAGAAAGTTCAGCTAATTACAGAATTCCAAATGGACAGTTGTTTTCCCTCAGCATTTTGCATATACAACACCATCACCTTCTGACAGCTCTTGTTCACGAGAGTTATGCTGTCAATTTGTCATTTCTTTGTATGTAATTCATCTCTTTTTTGTAGATTATATTTTCCGTTTTTTGTTTAATGCTTTATAGTTTTGCTACAGTGTTTCTAGGTAGAAATTTATTTTTACTATCTTGTTTAGTAACAATGAGATTTTTCAATTCAAGCTTTGGTGTTACTTCATTTCTGGAAAATTTGCAGTCATTTTATTTTCAAACATCGCATCTTTTTCATTCTGCTTATTTTCTTCTGCAAATTCTACTGGACATATTTCTCAGCTTCTTACTCTACCCTCCATTGCTTTTCCTTCTCTATCTTACTGTGCTTCGATCTAGAAGCTTTTCAGTGCTATATTCCAATTCATGAGTCCTCTCTGTTAAAAAATATCAGTGTAGCATTGGGATAACTTATTGAGGGTTGTTATTATTCTCAGTGACTATACTTTTTACTTCCAAGATTTCCAATTTGTTCCTTTCCAAATCTTCTTGTTCTTGTTTCATGGATGTTGCTTCCTTCCTTCGTCTTTGAGCAGTTAATTAATTATTTTAAAGTTCTCAGATTAATCTCTATATCCCCAGGTGTTAATTCTTTCATTTGTTGAATTTATGAAATATTTTTATCATGATGGACTCACTCATGTGCTTAAAATTTCTTAAAGAGCCATTCCTGCTTGGGAGTTCTCTTTCATATGCACCCTTTCTTTTCATACGATCTATATTTGCTTCAGCTCTGGTCCAAATGGGTCTCACAGGTCCAAACCAGTCTTACATTAATTGGCAGATTAACTTGCATCTTTTACTCCATATTAATGATTTAATTTTGGACCTTGCACATGTGTTGTATAGACTCAGTTCAGATACTCAGCTTCTTTACTTTTTAAAGTAAAGAATGTATAGATTCAATGCTCTCCAACGCAAAAATATACATCTAAAATATTTTAATAAACAACATATCCAATTTAAGACAATTAGTTCTTTCTTTTTGATAATCAATTTGAGGATAAACAACCAATGATTTATGAACTATAGTTGGGAAAATGACATCAGGCATGCCCTGGTTCTCCACAAATCTCTTCTCAGTGTCACATTTTATGTCTAGCAACGAAGGCCTCCTAGTGTGATTCCACTTTGCAAAAGATCCTTAAAGTATCTCCATTCCAGATCCTGTATATCCAAGAATTGTTTTTCTGAAAAAGAATCATATATTCAAAGAATCACATGGTGTTATTATTCAACCTCCCGTTACACAGAGATGCTTCATGGACAGAATAAACTTCTGATGAACTTGAATCTCCTTCTCTTTCTGACAAAAAGCTGTTTTTAAAGCTTTATAAACAAAGGGAGACCCTATGATGTTACCTGAAGCCCTCTCCTAAATAGGAAAGTGGGTGGGTCTGGCAGACTGGGCTTGAGTGGACCCTGCAGGGCCTCGGCAGGTAGTGGAGCGCCTCACTCTGCGCTTGGATACTAACAGCATGTGCAAATGGAGAGCCCTGCAGGGCACTGAGCCTCACGGGGAGGACAGAAGGACCCTAATAAGTGGTTAAAATAACAAGGAAGATTGACCAGAAGTATATAGATTTTTTTTAGTTTCATTTGCTTCAAGATGCCAATGTAAGCCCTGAGTATAAAAGGTCAGCGGCTCAGGTAGAATTTGGCTGTTTCCCATACTCTTTCAGGGCCTACCAGCTTGGAGAGTCATTAGTAGTTTCAATCCCTTCAAGGAACCATTGAGCCAAGGAGAAGCAAGCCAAGATAAATTGCATGTCCCCCCACTCAGCAGACATCCCTCTTTCCCTTCCCTTCAGCTCCTTTCATGACTAAATACACTGTAAAGCTAAAAACAACAACAAAAGCAAGGCTGAGTTAGCGGCTTGAGTGTAAAACCAGGGACTACAGAGCCAAGATCAATATAAAGAGCATAGGAGAATAACAGGTACAGTGGACAAGCAGAGGGCTGGTCTATTTCTGGTAGGCGACTGTACCATCCTTCCTGGGTGGTGACATTTCAGTAGGTTGCCTGTGACATTTCAGGGGTTGAGCAGGCACTGCCGCTGCCCCAGCCAGCCTCCCTGGGTCTGCCTGGTAGGGAGTCTTTATATATATCCTGGACATACCTGAAATAGAAGACAGGTGCTGGGGACTGTTGCTGTTCAACAGTTTGTCCCCAAGGCCAATTGCCAAGTTTCAGGGAGTTTGACAAGATCTTTGCAGGCCTGGCATAGCAAGAAGTGGTGGTAAAAAGAAGGAGGGGATATTTGGAAAGAGAAGGCCACAGAGTTGATGATTTTGACAACTAAAGAGCTTTTTTTTTTTTTTTGAGACAGAGTCTCGCTTTGTTGCCCAGGCTAGTGTGAGTGCCGTGGCGTCAGCCTAGCTCACAGCAACCTCAAACTCCTGGGCTCGAGCGACCCTTCTGTCTCAGCCTCCCAAGTAGCTGGGACTACAGGCATGCGCCACCATGCCCGGCTAATTTTTTATATATATATCAATTGGCCAATTAGTTCCTTTCTATTTTTTTTTTATAGTAGAGACGGGGTCTTGCTCTTGCTCAGGCTGGTTTTGAACTCCTGACCTTGAGCAATCCGCCCGCCTCGGCCTCCCAGAGAGCTAGGATTACAGGCGTGAGCCACCGCGCCCGGCAACTAAAGAGCTTTATGTCATGATCTGTGTTAGACACTATAGGTTGGCTTCCTCCATACCCACTCCAATCCTCTTCTGCCTACCTCTGCTACAGCGAGGGCTCACTAAGAACTCAATTCGCCAGCCTTCCTTGCAGGAAGGAGTGATGATTGGACACAATTCTGGCCAGCAAAGTGTAGAAAGAAGTCATCTGAGGAGGGGTGTTCTGGAAAACCATTTCTTCCCTATTAAAAGAGGACAGAAATACCAACGTGGCCCTCTGTCCTATCCCACCTCTTCCTGCCTGGAATGTGGCCATAGCACCTACAGATGATGGAGATGTCTGTTAGACGTGAAGATAAAAGCCACACACAAAATGATGGTGAAGACTGGGTCCTGGGAGACATCAGAGAGCATTGTTGCACAGAGAGTAGAGCCATGGTTATCAGAGACTGGGAAGGAGAGGGAGGCGGGAAGGATGGGGAGAGGTTGGTCCATGGGTACAAAGGTACGACTAGATAGGAGGAGTAAGTTCTGATGTTCTCTGGTGTTCCACTGCACAGTAGGGTGAGGATGATTAACAGGATATGGTATATTATAAAATAGCTAGAAGGGCGGCTTTTGAAGATCCTCACCACAAAGAAATGATAAGCCCATAAGGTGATGGTCCCTGCTAAATACCCTGATTTGATCATTGGACAACATAGATATATACGGAAACATCAAATTGTACCCCACAAATATGTACAATCACAATGGGCCCATTAAATAAATGAATAAAAAGCATTGTTCCACCCTTGTCTTCCTACCTTCAGAATTTTAAATATATAAGAAAAACAACCCCTATTTGGTTTCTCTGTTATTTTTGGTAAAACACACTCCTAACCTACATGATTGTACAGGATTTTAGCCTGAGCAAGAGAGGTTCATAGGATAGGAGAAGAGCAAAATGGCAACACCTCCTCTCTTTTCCTCCCCCAGAGCTTGGGATATGTCTCCGGGGAAAAGGTGTGCGTATTCTTTGGCATACAAGGAATACTAAAGTTCTTCTGGACTGAGTAGAAGAGTAGAAGATGAATTGTTGCAATATCAATTAAACCTAAGGAATTACTGAATATCCTTCATATGGATGCCTATCCCAGAAATTGCCCTGCAGAATCTCAGGAAATGAGGGTCATGTAGACAGAGAAGAGACTCCACATGAAAGGCCCCCAGAAGTTAGGTAGACAGCGGGCAACACAGGCATTAGGAAGAAAGGACAATTCGGCCCCTATTGGCAGCAAAGTCATAAATGTTCAAGATCTTATCAAACATCCAGAATTCTTCTTCAATAGGTTTTTGACTAGTTCTTCTTATTGATTCTCTTGCTTTTCATGCTTTTTCCTCTCTGGTCCCAGACTTTACTTGTATAGTTTGCAGATTACCTAAGCCAGTCCTACAATTGCTCCAATTTCTACCCCTGCCTATCCTCCAAAACACACAAAAAACAACTCTATCAAAGTCATATTTGAAACCTGCAGTAAGCTCTGTCAAGATGTCAATGTCGGGAGTTACACCAAAGGCTCTTTCGGTTCTTTGGACCAAATGTGCTCAGAGTAGTCAACCTGTTCCTTTAAATCTGTTCCTTCTGTCTCTCCCACTACCTTCAAGATAAAAATGATGGTGTCAACATATTTGCTGTGAAAATGGTCTTATCTTGAATCAAGAACTTACTTCAGAGGGGTGAAAATGTTGATTTAATCTATTTTTATAGCTCCTCAGAATGACAAATAATACCTCCCTTCTATTACATAAGTAATATGGAGAGCTGAAGTATAAAATACTCCCTTCTCGTTAAAAGTTAGCATCATATGTATTATGTATTTATTTTAACTTTCCCTGTGTGGCCTTTGGCCTTTTATGGGTCCCTCTCCATTAAAGGACCAGAAATGAGAGTTCCTTCCCATTGGTTGTGGCCTCTGTTGAAAGCCCAGATATAGAAGTAAGGAAAGGATAATTTGGTCATGAACAAAAAGATCTCTTAAAAAGTCCCTTAATTGCAGCAAAGCCAAGATAATACTCAGCTAACTTCATGTAACAAGAAACAAAGAGCTGTGGGTGGTTTGGGGTCCAAGTCTAAACGGCTCATTTCATAAAGGAGCGTCTAAGTGATGTATCTAAATAATACACCTTTTCAAGAACGACTCTGGGACTCGAGCCTGGAATTTCATGTTCTCTGTTGTGCACTGTATCGCCACTCCTGCAGCAGCTATGAAGCCCAGAACTGCAAGATTTCCATGGGTCAACATTTGACTATTTCTGCTGTAGAAACTGATGTAAAATTTGCCGTAAACTTTCCACTCCCTTTCTCCCACACGGCCTCATCTGTTTAGATTACCTGAGTCAACTAGGAGGTATTTAGGAATTTTGTCTTCGAAGGGGGACTTTTCCAGGCTGACCTTGAGAAGGCCTAGCCTGCATAAAACTCTGGTGCTCTGAAACTTCTTCAGGTTGGCCAACCGGGTCACAGCCTTCGCGTGCTTCTCAAGAATCTCCGGGGGAAAGGTGTGCGCAGGCGCGGGGATTCCGCACTGCCACAGCCGCTGCCCGGAGCTGGAGGTTCCCTCCGCCGGCGACTGCGAGCCCGCCTGCAGGCTGCGGTGCAGGAGCTCCGCCATGGCCTCCGCCCGCTTCTCCTCCTCTTTAACCACCGTGCACATGAAAACACGCTGGGGATCTCTTCCCGTGACAGCGCCCCTGGCAAAGGACATGGCGTTAAGGTTTTCAGTAAGCATTTTCTGTGCTTCATCAAGTGAAATACCACATGTTTTTAGGAGATTTAATTTCTTGCTCTTCTTACTGAAATTCTCAACAAATGCATATAATTCTGGCAGCTGTGGGGGGAAAAAAGTGGGAAGTCATGAGATCGATGAACATGTAATAGGCTGGCGGACCCTGAAACAAGGAAGATAACAAACAACCACAAAAACAGAAGCAGTTCTCTCTGGAAGCTCTCTTTGCCTGACTAAACCAACTCAACAGTGGCCCTGTAAGACCCAAAACTAGCCTAACCAGCTCTCTGCTTCTGTAACCACACTTGCTTTTAGAAAACCAAGACCCCACACCCCTTCCGCCCTTCCAAGAAATAGCTGTTATAGCTGTTACAAGTTCCCAGAACTAAGTGCAACCAGTTATACAAGACAAGACCAGTGAAATTTCCCCACCCTAAACTCCCTAACCACCAGCTGCGGTTTTAGCTTATAAAAAACCCCCCAAGCTTAAAAGTGGCGCGGCAGCTCCCCTAGCTTGCTGTCCACCCCTGGGCTGCGCTAAAAATAAAACCTCCTGCTCTTTTGCATCAAGCCTCTGGACTCTGAGTCTTTTTGGGCGGTCGTCTCTCTCCCAAACGGGCTGTACATGTCTACGGCCCAACGGCCCGGTGGAAAAGAGACCAGAAGGTCAAATCTCAGATTCTTTTCCCGAAAGACGTATTATTTAAGCACGTCTCTTAAACTCCCTGTTATAAAATGAGCCACTTACACTTGGACTCAGAAGTCTTGAAGATCTTTTCAACTCTAAAATTATATGAGTGACCTTGGAGACAGACAGCTGCCGGAGGTCATGACCTTTGCTTGTTTTGAATAATGCTACATTTCTTTCAGAGCAGAAAGACGACCAGGTCATCTAGACTTAACACTTCATCCTGGTTCCAGAGAGCTCAGAATGTTCAGGAAGGCAGTGCACAGGAGGCTGTAATAATCGTTATTCACTACAATACTTTACCAAAGCAAATGGTTGTGTTTGTGGAGTGTTGTTTGGGAATAGTTGTTGGCAGAAAACAAACCAAAAACAATAAATTATTTCTCAGAGTATCTTTTCCTGTCTAAAATCTTATATTGAAGGAATAAACTCTTGTTTTCTACAGCATCCTGCCTACAGAGCCCATCATTCCTAAAGAGGCTTCTCAGGCCATTAAACTGGAAGGCTCAGGTTCGAGCCAAAATCTGGGTCACTTCTCTCAACGCTGAGTTTCCTTTCATATATTTATTTATTTGTTTTGAGATGGGGGATCTCTGAGTTCCCAAGCTGGTCTCAAATTCCTGGGCTTAAATGATCCTCCCAAGTAGCTGGGACTACAAGTGTGAGCCACCACGCCTGGCTCAGGGGTTCCTTCTAATCCTAGTTGGTTCTACTGCAAGGGCAACAAATAGAAAGTGAACTAAGGTTGGCAAATGGCTCTTTAAAAACCATACTACTATCGAGAAACGGCTCAGCACTCTCGCTTCACCTGACCTGGGAAGAGCTCTATTTTGCCAACAAAAATGCAAGTCACTGAAGTGGAATGTTGGTACTCGCTGTAGTCCTGGGTGCGTATTCAATAGCTTGAATTTCTACAGTTCTTGAATATAAGTCTCCTGCATGCATTATGAACCTTTAAGCACATACCGAGCATTGGGCACACTGCCTCAGTGCTGTCTTCACCGGGCTGGCGTCTCCCAGTGGGAAACATTGTGCTGGGTTTATTCGCTAACTCCTACAAAACAGCATAGCAAAAACAAAAATCAAGGATCAAATTCAGATAAAATACAAAGGAGAGGATTAACACTTTTTAAATCTTCAAAGTTGTGAGTGAGACACTCTTAAGATTTATATCATTGAAATTTTTCTTTGTTTTCTCTTTTATCTAGTTCGCCAAATTTATCATGTTTCAACCAAACATTTCTCTCTGAAACATCCCAAATTCTTATGTACCATGTATATTCAGGTTTAATACTAGGTCCATGATTCCTGTATGAATTGTTTTTTATTTGGCTTACTATTTTGATTAATTTTCAATTCATTTGAAGAAAACTCATGCACTTCTTATGCAGAAAAGTGTTTTTATCGGAGAAAAAGGCTCAGATGTAATAATAATAATAATAAAGAACATTTTGAAATATTTGCTTTGTGCTAGATACTCTACTAGGCTTTTTTTTTTTTTTTTGAGACAGAGTCTCACCCTGCTGCCCGGGCTAGAGTAGAGTACTGTGGTGTCAGCCTAGCTCATAGCAACCTCAAACTCCTGGGCGTAAGCAATCCTCCTGCCTCAGCCTCCCGAGTAGCTGGGATATAGGCATGCACACACATTGGCAATTCATATATACATAATATATATAATAATATTATATTTATATATAATTATATAATAATTATATATATATATAATAATTAATATTATATAATTAAAATATATTAATGTATATATATATTTTTTTTAGTTGTCAGCTAATTTCTTTCTATTTTTTTAGTAGAGGCAGGGTCGTCACTTTGCTCAGGCTGGTCTCGAACTCCAGAGCTCAAACAATCCACCCACCTCGGCCTCCCAGATTGCTAGGATTACAGGCATGAGCCACCATGCCCTGCCTCTACGAGGCATTTTGCAAATAGAGTTCCTTTAATACCTTAGGAAATTAAAATGCCACGGAATCTTCACAATTTTTCTCATTAATAAGTAAGTGGCAGTTAGGTCCCCTCCCACACTTGACTCTGGGCTGGCCTTATGCTTGGCTTTGACCAATAGCTGTGGCATCGTGTCAGTGATGTCCTGTGAGGCCTTCAGAAGCTTTGTAGCTTTACTTCATTCACACCCTTGGGAGCCTGGGCCACCACGAGGAGAGGTCTGAGGCCCCTTCTGGAGAGACCGTGTGAGGTCAGCAGCCAGCACCAGCCACTAGACCTGTACGCGAAGCCATCTGGGCCCACCGGCCCCAGCTCTCGATGACTACAGCTACACGAGTGACCCCAGCTGATCCCAAATGGAGAAGAACCGCCTCCCAGCTGAGCCAGCCAACTCCAAAGTGATGATAAATAATGAATTACTGTTGTTTTAAGCCACTAAGTTTTCAGTGGATTGTTATATAGCAATGAATACAGATAAACCCCATGACACTCCGCATTCTTGGTTTAACTTATCCAGTGAGACCTTTATTGGTAAGTAAGGGAGTGTGTGGAGGGAAAATGTATTCCTGGGCACCACTGTGTCCTGACTGGCTGCTGCAGCCACTGACATGAGTATCTGAGATGAAACACTCATTTGGTGTTTGGGATGCAGCAAAAACAATTACATTCCTCCCTCATTCCAAAGTAGAAAAACCCATTCTAGGTTTGTGTGTGTGTGTGTGTGTATATATATATATATATATAGGCATTGTCTGTTATAGTCACTACTGAAATTACTATATCAATGTATAGGGCAAAAAAAGGAATACAGTGCAGCATGCCCACCACAGACCTGTCTGTTCCCAGCCAGCAAACATGACTTGATTCCTGCAAAAGAAAATATTTCTGTAACCTCCTTCATCTAAAACCTCTCAGTGTCCTCCAGCCAGCCACCGCTGCTACCTTTCAGCAGTGCTGTCCACCACGGAAGGCTGCCTTCTCCCATCACCCTGGGACAAGAAATCTTCTCACTTCTCCTCCTGGCAGAAGAGGGCGCGATTTAACCACACACACACACACACACACACACACACACACGCACGCACACACACACACACACACACACGACTTCAGTCAGCAGTGCCAACTCGGGCAGATGCCGTCCAACTTCAGCAGTCAATCCTGCCGCTCTCCACACACGTGTTCAAAGCAACATTTAGGAACCGTGGGCTCACCCCGGTATTGCAGTGGCGTTGACGGCGGGCACGGGGCACAGAGGGGTTTAGGCTCCTGCGGCTCCTCTGAGCTGCAGCTGGGGCCGTCTCCCTCTCACTGAAGCGTCGGGATTCACAATGCTGAAACAGATCATTCGCCAAAGATGCTTTCCCACACTTCAACGTTGACTTCACCTCATCCTTTTAACCTCAGGCTTTTTGCCCGAGCCAAGCCAATGCCCACACCTCAGCCGCCCTTCCGTCCGGCCTTTCCCGGAGAGCGTTCCTGGGGAAGTCGCGGGAACAGCGACGCCCTGTTGCGAGCCAGCCCCCAGCGCAGCTCTTGCTGGGGCTCCTGAGCACTCTACTCATCAGTCGCTGCCCCTGCAACTTCCCACAGTGAATTCTGCTGCTGCCGAGAAGAGCGAGGGCCCCTCACACGAGCTCCCGGGGGTGGGACCCTCTTCTCCACTCGCGCCCACAGCCAACTCCCCCCTTCCCTCCAGTCCCGGAGGAAAAGCTCTCTCGGCTCATCTCCTGTCAGTTTCCTCTCCCCCGCGGGCGTGTGCTTCATCCTCCTCATGACTGCTGTGGACTATCTCCCCCGCCATTGTCCCCCCCCCCTTCAACAAGGACTCTTCTTTTTCTTCCTTCCTGCTGCTCTATCACTCTCTCTTATCTCCAATCTCATGTTTCCCCAATGGCGTATTCTCCTCTTTACAAACGTGCAAAGTCTCTTCCATCTGGGGGAAAAATACAACTTCTCAACTCTGATCTAAATACCACCAATTATGGACCTGTGTCTCTTCTTTACCTGAGTACTTGCTATTTTTATATTCTTATCATTTAATCTTCTGTATAATTGCATTTAGCTTCCACCGTAGCTGATGCACTAAAATTGATTTTTTTTTTTTTGTCTTTTTGAAATAGGGTCTTGCCCTGTTGCCTCAGCTAGAGTGCAGTGGTGTAGCCATAGCTCACTGAACCTCCTGGGCTGGAGATCCTCCTGCCTCAGCTTCCCGAGTGACTGGGACTACAGACATGTGCCACCATGTCCGGCTGATTTTTCTGTTTTTTGTAGAGACAGGGTCTCGCTCTTACTCAGGCTGGTCTCATGTGATTCAACCTTCTGGCCTCATGCGATTCAACCTCCTGGTCTCAAGCAATCCTCTTGCCTTGGCCTCCCAAAGTGCTAGAATTACAGGTATTAGCCACCATGCCCAGCCTTAAAATTGAATTCTTAAAGGTAATAGGGACTTGTTAATCATCAATTCTATTAACAGTGTAGTTTTTATAGACCTCATTTTTCTCCATATCAACTAATAACTATCCCCTCATTTTTAGAAATTTCAATAGATTTAAGGGGTATAGGTGTTTTTGTTACATGAATGAATTGTATCATGTTAAGTCAGAGTTTTTAGTGTACCCCTCACCAGAATAGTGTACATTGTACCCGATAGATACATTTTTATTCCTCCTCCCTCCGTCCCCTGGCCTTCTTAGTTTTCAACATCTATTACACCGCCTTGTGACCATATATATCCCTCATTTAGCTGCCACTTATCAGTGAGAACATGTGGTATTTGATTTTCCATTCCTGAAATACTTCCCTTAGGATACTGGTCTTTAGTTCCATTCAAGTGGCTGTACATGACATTATTTCATTCCTTTTTGTGGCTAAGTGTATTCCATGGTATATGTATACCATATTTTCTTTATTGGTTCATCAGTTGACAGGTACTTAGGTTGATTCCATATCTTTGCAACTGCAAATTGTGCTGTAATAAACATTTGCATACAGGTGTCTTTTTTGTAAAATGACTTCTTTTCCTTTGGGTAGATACCCAGTAGTGGGATTGCTAGATCAAATGGTAGGTCTACTTGTAGTTCTTTGAGGAATCTCCATGCTGTTGTCCATAGATGTTGTACTAGTTTACATTCCCAACAACAGTGTATAAGTATTCCCTTTTCACTGCATCCATGCCAACATCTATTGTTTTGTGATGTTTTAATAATGACCATTCTGACAGGGGTAAGATGGTAACTCGTTTTAATTTGCATTCCAATGACTGGTAATGTTAAGCATATTTTCATATGTTTGTTGACCATTTTTCTATCCTCTTTTGAAGAAAATCTGTTCATATTTTTTGCCTACTTTTTAATGGGGTTATTTGCTTTTTTCTTGCTGATTTGTTTGAGTTCTTTGTAGATTCTGGATATTAGCCCTTTGACAAATGTACAGTTTGTGAATATTTTCTCACACTCTGTAAATTATCTATTTACTCTGGTGATTATTTCCTTTGCTGTGCAGAAATTTTTTAGTCTAATCAAGTCCCATTTATTTATTTTTGTTGTTGCTGTATTTGCTTTGGGGGTCTTAGTCATAAATTCCTCACATAGGCCAAAGTCCAGAAGAGCTTTTGCTACATTTTCTTCTAGAATTTTTATGGTCTCAAGCCTTACATTTAAGTCTTTAATCCACCTTGAGTTAATTTTTGTATGTGGTAAGAGATACAGATCCTGTTTCATTCCTCTGCATATGGCCATCCAATTTTCCCTGCACCATTTATTGAACAGGGCGCCATTTATCCAGTATATGTTTTTGTCTGCTTTGTCAAAGATCATTTGGTTGTAGCTATATGGCTTCATTTTGGGGTTTTCTATTCTGTTCCATTGGTGTATGTGTCTATATTTCTACTATAACCATACTCTTTGGTTACTATAGTCTTGTGGTATTATTTGAAGTCAGATAATGTGATTCCTTCAGATTTTTTTTTTTTTTTTTTTTTGAGACAGAGTCTTGCTCTGTTGCCCTGGGTAGAGTGCTGTGGCATCATCATTGTTCACTGCAACCTCAAATTCCTG